GTATATATATATATATATATATATACACAAAATAGAAAAAATTTTATTAAGTACTGAATAAAAATAAAATAAATTTATGCAAATTATAAAAACCATTGTAACTCAATGGAAAAACAGATTTTACACATTATTCAATGTTAAAGACTACCTAATTAGGAATTATAAACGTAACACAACATACAAAGACAGTAACTTTACACTATTTAACTTTTTTTTTAAACATTTAGCCAGATTTTGAAAACCAATAAATTAATCATTTTTTCCATATGTACATAAGATCTTTAAAACATTCCAAAACTCGGGAAAACTAATAACATCTGTATATCAAAGTAAGCCTGTCATTCTCAAATTGTCGTTTTTTTTTTTACAAAAATACCCGTCAGTTTGTTTGTTTCAAAAGACATAGCAGTCTCCTCTATCTTTAAGTGCCCAACAAATCTAGCCAGGTTACCGTTTATCCAAACATATAACCGCTAAATGCTCATTTAATCCTAGTACTTGTTTCGAGATTTCCAGTATGTGTCTAATACTGAGGAAGTGTAATAGGTGTGTGACAAACTATATGATCTGCTGGTGTCATTGTTAACATACTTTACTCTGACACACATACATATACTGCAAAAAAAAAAAGGAATCTCTTTCCTAGCTCTTTCCATCAATTTAGTTCTTCATCAACATCCTGTTTTAATTATTTTTAGTTTTTTTACCAGAAATATCAGTTGTTCATGGGAAATTTTAAAACTAAATTTCACACACTGTTCAGTATATACTGATTTTACAAATTCTGTTTAAGACTTAACTCTCTATTGGTTGATATTTTGCCAGTAAAAATTGCTTTTTAATATAATAAAATATTATTTATATATATATATATATAAATGTTATTGTGTTTTTGAAGGTCAGACGTCCAGCAAGAGATCAAGAGGGTCACAAATTTTGTGCCCTTTGTAATCACAAAGAAAGATATCCCGCAGTCGGAGAGTGTGGAAGTGTTGAATCCACTTGAGGCTGTGAGCCTTCCTGTGTCTAGTATCTACAACCATTTCACTCCAAACCAAGCAGGATTAGGAAGTACTGTATTTGGCTGGATAAGAGGTGAACATTCAAAAGGGTTTGAAGAAACGGAGAGTATGTTACAAGAAGGTGCCAATCTTACAGCAGTTGGGGAAGTTTTTTTGGACGCTAGCAACAGACTTAAAATTCAGCCATCGGGGAAAGGATACGACTATTACCTGACGATATCGTCACGAGAAAGTTTAATTAAAGAAGTAGAGAGGAATGGTTTTATATTTAAAGTTCTTACAGTTATCACGGGATGCATGGGTGCCTTCTTAGCTGCATGGTTCATTCGAAATTGGTACGACGAAAGGAAAAGACGGCTTCAGGCCGACGAAGATAAGAAGCGATTTGAAGAGGTTCGACTTACTCAGAGAAAAAAGAGAGAAGCCAAAGATAGCGGAACCGTTATACCACTACCACTTTGTGTGGTGTGTTGGACTAACCCAGTAGAAGTAATGTTGTTGGAATGTGGTCATGTTTGTCTTTGTACAGACTGTTCTGATAAAGTAAAAGAACGGTGCCCCGTGTGTAGGTCAGACATAGAGAGAACAGTGGCTGCTTTTTTGCCATAACACTTTGCTAATTGTTCATCAGTGTGTTAGAAGTTTCTAGAAAAAAAAATTATATTTCAGATAATATATGATGAGGCTGTCTAGAAAAGATCATGATCAGTGTATATTTTAATTCTAGTAAAGTTCATGTGTTGTTAATCAATCAAAAATGTATGATGCATCGAAAGATGAGACAAATTAAAGAAAAGTGATAATTTGTGTAAGATGTAATACATATTTAGGAAGTTACAAAAATACAAACAAGACTGGTTTAACCTCTATAAACCAGATAAGGTTTTGTAGCTTAAATGCCCAAACGAACTCTCTTTTCACATTTGTGTTATTCTAGCAGAAAAGGTGATATAGAGATAGTTAAATGTTTTTCTTTTTTTTTATGTATAGCATAGCCTCGTGCACTTGTCTTCCATTTTGTTTCTGTTTATTTAGTTGACTTGATGCGGAAAAACGTAAATATTTGGTTAGACTGAATTTTCAGTAACATGACTTGCCATAAAATTAGTTAATTCATCTTTTATTGTAATTAAGGTAATTACACTTTGGACTACATGAAGAAGTGTATTAGCTAGTCTTTTTATTGTAATTCTATCTGCCATGGAGGTTAGAATTTAATAAGAAATGCATATATTTCTTTTTTTTTTATTAATGATACAATATTTTTTGGTCAAAAAAAGATAATGACCTATTTGTACACACACACACATACATACAACAGTAACAGAATTTAAATACAAAGGATCAATATTCTTGCCTGTTATTAAGATTTGTATTAAAACATTTCTACAACTTCAATAAATAAATACACAAATGGAATATATTATGCCAACAGCAGACTTAATCACAGTAATTCTCCTTGATTTTTGGCTCTTTTTTTTTTTAAAATTATACCACTCATGATAATATCTTATACAAATACCGCTAGGCCTCACGTCGTGTAGTTTTAAACCCAAATTTAAACAGAAAAAAAAAACATATTGCAGTAAAACCTTTGAATGTGAAACAACTTTATCATAATCTGTTGGTTTTTAAAGTTTATGGTATTTTCTGCATTAAAACATTTTCCTACTCATCAGAGTAGAGAAATGTAATTGGAAAAATGTTCATCAGTTGTTTTTTAGACTCTTTTTTTAAAAATTGAAGTAACTGTGATAAAGATGCTGTGTATGAAGATTGAACATACATTTAGTTATCCAGAGTGCTAGAGCAGCCCCATTTGCTTGATAAACTTCATGATATGCCAAGATACCATTGACTGTGATGATGTTTACACATCTTCCATGATGCCAAATTCCAGGTTTATAGGATTATGTATGCTTGTTTGACATTCCCTTTTCCCATAATGCATATTTTCAGCTCTAGTATCTATCGATATATATATCTAAAGCACAAAAATCTGTCGGTTTGTCCCTTGTCTAACTATTACTAGGTTGTAGGGCAAATCTCGACATTTCACGTAAATTGACGTTAACTACAAACATAGGTGGCGCCACATCCTTACACACACAAAATTTCCATAATGCAAAGTGCGATGAGAGTCGCGCAAATGTCTTATATATTTCAGGGAGTGTGCTAGCACTCTATATGCAGGAATGCAATGATAAAGAAAATGTCCGCCACTATTGCAGTGATACATGAACTCAGCTTTAGTTTCTACTCCAACATCTACAATAAGGCTGATATGAGAAGCTGTTTCTGAGTTATAATCACTTCCTACTTTGACCCATGACCTGTAAAACACTTCTGCAGCCAATGACTCTAGACTAATTGATCATGTGAAACACTGTGGAAGGACATTAAGAGTTGGGTATTGAAAGTGGGTAACAGAAAGCACCCCCACTACTGCCACAACTTCTTCCTACAAAGTCACCATAATCATCGCACAGTGTATATACCATGTTATAACTACATAGATATCGGGTTCTTACAGCTTATACAAAACGTTAGATGAGGCAATAATGAATACTGTATTGATATGCTATGTTATAAATAAATTGTGTAAAAGTTAGGATTTTAGTATTTATCACAACATCCACCCCCACATTTTTTGAAGTTTATAACTCGGTCAAAGAACGGTACCTTAGCTTGTGTTACAATAAGACTTTGTAAGGAAATTTCCCAAACCATATGATGCAAACTTCGAAGTTTAACAGATTAATGCAACTTTTTTAAGAGGTTTACTTATCACCTTGATGCCAAATTAACAAGTGCTATTAACCTGTTGTAATAAAACTAAGTTGCAAGTTTGTGTGAGCAATGTTCACCAATTCCCCATGATTCTATTTGGTTATTGGTTTGCCATGTGATTGCATGACATTGTACACCTATGTTAACTATATTATCATGTGCTGTTTGAAATCTCAAATTATAATTTATGAACACCCTTCATAATATTCTTGTAAAGTTTTTGAACAACAAAGTAATAAAATACATAAAAATAACAGTGTGTATTTGTTTATAATACAGAAAACTAATAAAATAGTACACTTGTAACAATTTCATCTTGTATAAGTTTGTTTCTAGCAGTTCTGGTAGAAAGAAGGATACATTTAAATTGATTAAAGAAATTTAGTATATATATATATATTCCTTAAGACTTTTATTTACACAAAATATTTTCTTTTCTAAACCTGTGTGGCATATTCTGGTGCAGGATTTCCCAGAGAGCAGTCAGCTAGGGCTCACTAATTGGATGTTCGAAGAATATCATATTGTCAACAAAGAAAGAAGAAATACACAGGATGTACAGTCAAAGAACATGATCACAAAATAAGGGCAAGTGTTTATTGTAAATGTGTTGAAATGGTAAGAGAAGTGTGTAAAATCTTTTAATATATCTCTCTTACTAGTCCAGAGTGAGCGATAATAAATAAAAGTTCAACTAAAACAACAATAAAGCTGCATTGTTAAGATAAAACAAAGTTAACTTTCAAACAAAGAAATGCTACATTTAAGTCTAACAAACTGAAATGCTCTCTTAAAACTGTGAAGTACTCCTTGAAAAAAAAAAAAAAACTCGTAAAAACTGCTTAACAAGGGAGAACCTGGGTTTTAATACTAAAAACAATAATTAACAAAGCCAAGTTACTCATGCACTGTACTTCACACATGTGATCTATGACCATACACGTTCCAGTGTAGAGGAGTGGAAGTTTCAGGCCATTACCCATTTCACTGAAATAAATGACAGCTATTTCAAGACATCAAAAGTCTTCCCTGCAAGAGAACAGGAATAATGGCCAATTAGCTGATCCAATTCATGTGTACCAGAGTAAGGAACATTGAGTTATTTACTTGAGTGACTGTGTCCAAACTGAACTGAAAGAAAATGAGAAATTTCAAAAATTTACATATTATCTAAGGGATAATCTAATACATGGTACTGTTTTGTACCACAAATTTCTTCACCATTTACTTCCAGGCCACTGCCTAATGATGAAACTACAATAACAAAATACATTTAATCACGTGACCTTAAAGAAACTGAAATAACTCACCCTTGTTCCGTTAAAACCATATGCCCAACAAGCATTATGGAAAAGCAACTTTACAGAACAAGGCAATAAAATATAAACATAGCTCACCTTTACCTATTAGAAGGGTAGTCCAACATACTACGCTTGTACCAACCACAAAATAAAATAACTTTTAGAAAAGAGATGTCTATCCTCTTTTAGGAAGGAATAGCTAACAAAAGTACTACAAACAAAAGGTAACCATTAACATTGAAATACACCAAAACAAAAAGCTATCCAACATATTTTCATCACCCCCAATACTGCACTATTCAAAGAATCACTGTCTATTGAAATTAGTTCTCTGATCCGAGTGGATCTCTTCAGAAATGCTAGCTGTTGCTCTGTCGGCACATCAGCAATGAATTGCTTTAAAGTGACAATCAATGGGTATGACTTGGTTAATGAAGTAATCAATAATGACTTAACACATATTAACTTACTTTGTCTCAGACTGGCAAAATATAGGGATATTCTCTGGATGGAAGAACCAACAATTCTTTGCTGGCATTTATCTTGCCTAGACTGATTTTTCTTCTCGGCTGAACACATGGCGTAGTGCTGGGACCTATGATATGATCAAGAAACTCTTTTTATGTATGCATTAGTGCACACTTCCCATGGTGAAAGTTTAATCCAACCATTCTTATCCACTCCATGGATAAATTCATAAGAGCAGGCTCGAACATTTGTCTAAATATCAAGACATAATTCATGTGTACCAAACATCTGTCCCATTGCAGGCCTTTAAGACTTGGCTGGAGCATTACACAAGCTGAATGGCATGACTCAGAACAAAAGCAAACCACCTGGATTGCTAAAAAGCAGTTTTGACCCTCCAATTGTCATTCAGTTACACTTGCAAGTATCCAGCTCTAGTGTGCTAAACCATTGTCTAGATATCTATCTGTTTGTAACAACAGAAAGGGGTCAACACATGTTATGGCATTCACCCTTCAGAAAGCAACACAGAACCAGCTCATACCATCATTCTTCCTGACAGTCACAATTGGAGATGACCACATACTCTTGGTAGGATGTATGATGCCATCCTTTAACATCTGCTGTGTCTTTGCATTGACTATTTCCATAGTGCTCCACTGACAGTGAGCATGGAAGTTGTCTGCCCGTTCCTATGTGGTGGCAAGTGATTTTAATTTTACCCAACCAGCTGTCCAATCCCATAAGTACATTGCTGTACTTAACCAACAAGTCACTGAGACTTTGCAACTGTGGTGAGTCTAGATTGATTTTTGCAATCTTTAACTAATTACCTCAAATGCACTGGTAACTGAGTGTTCACTTTCAGACACAGTACAATAAAAACAACACTAGCATTACATTTAGTATGAGGTACCTTCACTTTTCTTCTCATTCTGATGACCATTCCGGTGGGAAACTGGATTGCTGATCACCAATAATTGCAGAGCAACGCAAAGACTTCATCCTCCAATGGATATATCACTATCTGTGCTATAGCTGCTTTCTGGACAGAAAACAGTGTTTCTTATGTTTGCTCGACAGCCATGTTACACAGCACAAATGTACTTGACTTCATACATAGTGAACCATAATACTCTACTTCCATACACAGAGGTACTATTATTCCCTCTACAAGGTGCACGTAAACAGTCCTGCTTTGGATAATTTTTGATTGGTACTGGATGGATTTCCTACTACAACCTGGTTCACCTGTTGTGCAGAAGTTAGCAGAGAGCTTTTACAGTACATCTATCCTGCGAATACAAATGCTAGAACCAAGGTTTGCAATGACGACCTTTGTTCAATGGTTTATGTGGCCAAAAATAAGTCCAAGACATTTCCATTCACATCGAGTGTGCGGCTGTTTACCAGAATAAAGTGAGTGTTCTCTGGGCTGCCATCATATTTTTTGGTATAAACCGTCCAGAGTTGGTAGCCAGCCCAAGATTGTCAGAGCAACTTGTTTCCTTTAATGGAGAGGGTTCTCTGCTGTCCCATACCTTGTCCTCCTGACCTGCAAGTACCATCTGTGTCACCTGTGATGTAATTTGCATTGGTGGAGTTCACCCACCTCCCTGCATGGAGAGGTCCACTGCTTTGCACCCAATTATTCTCATCTACAAGTGCCCATTAATTTTGCTTCTCTCCAAGGTGGGTGGCATTGGCCAGAGCTGGCAAATATGTATGGGTCCTATAGAGACCACTCATACTGTTCTAAAATACCCTAAGTTTCATGCTACCCTGAAGATCTTCAATCGTCAAGGCTCCACCGTGTCTAAGACTTAGCTTCAGGAAGAAAACTTTATTGGGTCTTCTGGGTACACCAGATGGTGTTTGTTGTCCTTTATGTGTTTATAGCCTCTAGGAACCTTTTCAGAATTATCAAAAGTCCAAGATACTGGAGAGGATTTCCCACAGATCTAGCCACTCTACTTGTAGGCTGCCTTGCCTCAGTCTTCTCCAGCCTGTACACCCTATGTCCAACAGAGAAAGTCAAACAGAGACTGAGGGTACTAACTGGGGTGTTGACAAGTCTGGCCATACACCCATTCAGAAAGAGCACAAACCTCTGCAACAGCAATATCCTCATCATTTACAGCACCATAATTTCTCCTTCTCTACTACCCTGGTATTTTCTGAGGTACAGAATTCCTATAAAGCAATCAGTTAGAGCCAACTAACAAGAAGTTCAAAGCTCCCCTTGTAAGCTAAAACAATCTAGCAATAATAAATATGCAACATTAAAATCAATACACACAATTAAAATCATTTCAAAATAATGACTCTACATGTTTCGACGTGTCGCACGTTATGTTCAGGAGTGATATAAATATATATCAATCTAGCAATGTTAAAACAAAATGAAGTTAGTCTTTTAAACAAAAAAACTCCAAGTTGAAATCTAGCTAAAGTTAAGGTAATCTAAAACTTTCTGAAAAGCTCTCTTAAACCTGCAAAGAATTCTGAAAAATCCCCTGCAAATGTTGTGTTTAATATGGGAAATCCTGGTTTTTTAATACTGTGCAAATACTGGAAATAATATCATCAGCAAAGCCAAACTACTCAGGCACATTGAGACATACAAGTTCCAACATAGAAGTCCTGGGTCATTAGAAGATGCCAAACTGTGCCAAAACACTTGGCAGGTTTTTTTAACCTTTTTGTTTTCATGAAATGTTTTAACTTCTTGCATTTTAAACTTAATTTTGTTTGGTTTATTACAAAAAAGACATTTAGTGCTATTTACTCAGAGCTAATAGCACATTCTCAATTCTGTAATTTGTTGACAAAGAAATACATGTACATATTAAGTAGTGTGCGTGAACATTTTTCAGACCTAATTAATAATTTATCAATTCTCCGCAGTTATTCAGAGAATCTTTTCACAAGCATCTTTATTTTTTCTTGCAATAATTTTACCTAACAGTAAAGTATGTATTGAGTATTAACTTTTCTAGTAACATCACAACTATTCATTTCTAATGCAGACTGAGTACTATAAACTGATTCTGAGATTTTTACAATAGGTTTTTTTTTTTTCTTACTGCTGGGTGCTTTCGGTCCAGAAAATTTTACCCAATAATTTTAGATCAACTGGATTAAGTGAAAATAAGAATGAAAATTAAACAGTTTTTTTTTGCATTCCATATTACTGTACATGATGTAAGTTATAAGATTTTTTTATTATTTAATGAAATCATTGTAAATCTTATTCTCCTTCTCAGAAAGTTGATAGATATTGGGAGAAAACAAGAATCCTCTATAATATGTGGTTCAATCCAGTCACCATAGAGAGTGGTATAAAATAATGTTTACTATAACAAACAATGAAATTTTCATTTAAGATTTTTTTTTATTACAAAAAAAACTTTTTTTTCCAAAAAAAAAAAAAAAGGGAAAAAAAATTTTTATATGAGAAACAGTCATGACTAGCATGGAATAACTTAAAACCATTTAAACAATAATAATTTTACTTATCCTACGGACATTCATGAATGCACTTGAATTATGGGTAGGTAGATTGACTAAAATTTTAACTTTACAACTGCTTGTTATCAAATAACTGCTTTAATATTATAAGAAAACAAAAAACCACTAATGATATAAACTGGTTATTCACAAATTTACATTTTATATTATATCACATTTTAATTAGTTTATAATATCAACACCACCTTAGCTGAAATATTCTGGATGATCCTTTGGAAGACGATTTTAGTTTGTATCAGGGTTTGGATCAAAAAGGTACATTCTAGAAACATAAAATTTTTTTTTTTAATACTGGTATATAACAAACATATAGTTGGATTTCACAGAAAAAGACAAGAGCAAGAGAAGTTTATTACAGCTTTAGGCTTTGCATTTAACCAGAAGATAGTTAGAGAAAAATAACATGTATCTTACATAATATCATCTGAAATACACAGAATAAATTCTCCACACTGAGTTTAAGATCACTGTCTGCATCACTAGTCCTTCGATGAAGGAGTGTATCTTTACTGATGTTACGGATTCAGGTCACAGTATCACAAGTCCTTCTGTGACATTAATGCATCTGTAAATGACAAAAATCTCCATACACAGTTGATGAGGGGATGGAAATGCAAAGCTTCGGACTTAAGGAATAAAAAAAGGTTTCTTGTGTTCTGTCTATCTTACAGACTTAATCCATGGATCTTCCATTTCATTGATTCTTACACAGGCTCAATCCATGGATGTTTTTCAATTCATTGGTTCTTACACATTCTTAATCCACGGATCTTCCATTTCATTGGTTCTTACACAGGTTCAATCCATGGATGTTTTTCAATTCATTGGTTCTTACACATTCTTAATCCATGGATCTTCCATTTCATTGGTTCTTACACAGGTTCAATCCCATGAACCTTCCAATTCATCGATTCTCATAGTAACCACTAGGTCATGCCTGGCTGTATAATCTGGTAACAAAAACTGTGTTTTTACAACAGTTTTTTAAGTAGTTACAGCTATAATTGTTCTCCAAGTTTTCATAATAATAGCTCTTGTTTAAACTATTCCTTTCATTATATGCTCTTATGAAAGGTTTTATTAAACTTCTTTCATAATTCAGTCCTTCAACAATGATAAAGACAGACATGACAGGTACTTGTTACTTTCCACAATACGTATGTTATTTGAATCTTACATAGACTTAATCCATGGACCTTCCATTTCATTGATTCTTACACAGCTTAATCCATGGACCTTCCATTTCATTGATTCTTACACATTCTTAATCCATGGACCTTCCATTTCATTGATTCTGACACAGGCTTAACTCATGGATCTTCCATTTCATTGATTCTTACACAGGCTTAATCCATGGACCTTCTATTTCATCGATTCTGACACAGGCTTAACTCATGGATCTTTGAAATAGTCATTTTTAGTCACTGTTAGCAAGACTGTAACATTGGAATTACAACCAACGATTTCAGCATCTTGGGAAGTGCAGCCAATGAGAAGATGCTTTGCACTAAAGAAAGCTTGTGGATGCACAAGGTGTTTCCTGAGTATAACGTAAACCTCACATCATCATCTTTGCTTCTGAAACTATGGTTTGATTGTTGCCTCAGGATGGTTTAAGTAAAACCGAATGTTCAGGCATATCCTTCTCCCTTAATGAGATCTACTGATTGACCAGATGAAGGACAATCAGTCAACAGCACCCACTGCTACTCTTAACCAAATAGTGGAATTGACTATCCCTTTTATAATGTACCCACAGCTGAAAGTGTGGAGCATGTTCAGTTGTATATCACAGGACTAATCATGGACCTTCCATTTCATTGATTCTTACACAGGCTTAATCCATGGATCTTCCATTTCATTGATTCTTACACAGACTTAATCCATGGATCTTCCATTTCATTGGACTGATTATATAGTGTATTTTGTGCATGCTTTTTTAATTCTTGAGCTCAAACAACGAATTGCAGAGCCCACACGGCCATGGTTACACCTTGGACATGCAAATTTGTAGATGACGTAAGAACAATGCATTTTAGGGATCCTGTCTTTAAGTTAGAAATAATTACATATACAACATATCAGTTTGAAAACGATTCTAAACTTAAGTTGTGGATCAATTTTGTTATACAAAATCACTTTAATCCTTTTCTTCGAGATATTGAGTCTTTATATACAAAATAATCATTAAAGGAAGTAACAGATTTAAGTAGAATTTCATTTTTCAACATTTTGATATTAGGAATATAACAAAACTTGTTTACTTTAAGTTATTAGAATTTGTCACCAAAGAGTTTAATATCTTTTTTTAATGGTTGTCATTATGAACAATTTTACAGAGTGTCAATGGGTTCAAGAGTTGCATCAAGTTCAGCTAATTTGTTTTTAAGTTATTAGGAAAAAATGTGGTTAGAAAATTGTCTTGAACAGTTTAAATCTTTATAATACAGAAGATATGTTGATGATACATTTGTAGTTCATAAAATAAACTTGATTATTTGAACAGTCAACCTGACAATATTAAATTTACAATTGAAGAACAAACTGTAAACATTGTACCATTTTTAGATTCCAAGATAGTTAACTTAAGAAGTTTTTGAGACAAAGTGTTACCATAAACCACATTTACTGGACAATATTTTTATCTTTTGAAATTAATTCATATGGCCTACAATATAGTTAGTTCCTTTTCTGGACTTGATGAATAAGTACAAAAATATAAAGGTTTATTTAAAGAAAAAAGTTTTCCTGTACAGTTAATTGATAGTGTTATTAAGAATAATTTCAAAGCTCTCTACATTTATAAAAATCAATTAAAACAAAAGAAATAGTTAAATTAAGTTTAGAATTGTTTTTACTCAATACATCGTACATGCAATTAAATCATCTACAAATTTACATGTTCAAGGTATAACCATGGCCGTGTGGGCTCTGCAGTTCGTTGTTTGAGCTCAAGAATTAAAAAAGCATGCACAAAATACACTATATAATCAGTAGGTCATTCTTAGTCACTGTTAGCAATATTGTGACATTGGAAAACAACCATCGATTTCAGCATCTTGGGAAGTGCAGCCAATAAAAAAGACACTTCTCACTAAGGAAAGTTTGTGGAGGCGTGGTCTGAACTTTGGGGTCTCTGACTTGACTATTTAGCCCATGGGTCACGTTAAGTACCATTCAATTTGAGAATAACCTAGTTTCACCATAACTGAAATAACTCGTAATATCCAAACCTTGACTAGAGATTAGTATGGCACACAAACATAAAATGTGGAACACGTGTGTGTTTGTAAGAGTCCAACGTGGTTGAAGATTAAATACATATTCTGATGTTGAATACCGATTGGGCCAGTAGCATAAGGACGCTTAAAGGGTTTCACTTTACATACTTAGTGTTTATTGCTTAAAAAAACAATTCGAATTAAATACTTCTTAATTAACAGTCAAACAGTAGAGATTATCTGACCTATATATATATATTACTTGTAACACAAATACAAAATAAAAATCAAGTTACCATTGTAAAAATATTACCCCAAGATTACCGTAATTTTTACACTGATCTTAGGTAAGTTTGTTTGTTATACATTTCGCACAAAGCTACACGAGGGCTATCCGCGCTAGCCGTCCCTAATTTACAGTGTAAGACTAGAGGGAAGGCAGCTAGTAAATACCTTCCACCACCAACTCTTGGACTACTCTTTTACCAAGAAATAGTGGGATTGACTGTCAGATTATAATGTCCCCATGGCTGAAAAGGAGAGCATGTTTGGTGGGACAGGGAATCGAACTCACAACCCGAAGACTGAGAGTCAAGCACCCCTAACCACCCGGCCTCTTAGATAAGTAAATATAAATATAGTGTTACCAGATGTCCCAGTAAGACTGGGATTGTCCCTATTTTTAGTCTTTTTTTTAATTACGATCATAAACAGTAAAAGTATTAAATTGTGCCAGCTTCTCCATACCTGAAAGTTTGTTATGTACACGTCATTATACACAGATTTTTTAAATTTTACTTTAAAAAAACACCTGACAAAGATACAGTACAGTACTCTCTACTGTGTTTCCTTTACCTGACCTGTCACTGGGCAGCTGCAGGAATTGACACTGAAGTTGGAAGACCTGTCCATCCATGAAAAAGGAAATGAAGAAGGAACATTTTCGTTTTAAGTATGTTAAAAACAATGTAGGCATGTTTTTTTTATTTATAATTTTTTTAATTCCATAGGTTTCTGAGAAATTTTGTTTGTCTCTGGTTTTAAAGTGCAATGCAATAAACATCATATTATTTAGTGAATGCTGAAAGTTGTGTTATTGTAATTTAAACTGTTTCAGAACTGTTACAGTGTCACTTCATATGGAAAAAGAATTTCCCAGTCTTTCATTCTGGAAACCTGGTAACCCTATATAAATACAAACCAGTTCGATAAACAGAAACTGGCAGTTAATAACTACAAAGTGGCACTTGGTATTAAATGAAAAACAAAACTACATTTAAAAAAAAAAAATCTTTCAATTAATTCTGGCTTAAAGTCTTATAAAACTGCACAGTGTACAAACACTAATTACAACAGTAAATAAGTAGGAGCTTGGGACGAGTACTGCACAGCATATTGCAAGATTATGACTGTATGGCACAGAAACATTTCATGTTGTATCAAAAAGATAAGTTGATTAACCACTTCAATGTAGCAGCAGTGTTTATTTCTTGTACGGTATTTTTCATTCTTGTAATTTTGTTACAATATTATGGTTTTTTTTGCTGCAGAGTGTCCAAGCCACTAAAACAGGTTGTTTATAACTTCACAGTAGATTCCTTGGTTATTGTATACTCAGTTACATAATTTAATGTAATCTTGATATACTTACGTGCAGTGCACACTTTACAAGCATCCAGTTTTCAAATCTTATTGGTATAAGTCTTTGGGCTCCAACGTTCATTGATTTGGTTTTTAAGGGATGATGAGGAGAAAAACCTTTCGTACAAGTGAAAGTATAGTTGAACCTGTTTATGTTTTTTTAAGTTTATCGTGGCTAAAGAGTGATACTCAGCTGCAGAAGTAAAGCAGTCATTTTCTGAGAATCCCCACAATTTAGCCCAAAACTTCTGAGAAAGCACATTATCCTGCTGAATGCATGTCCTAATCACATGACTTTTTACTGTTTATGTTTTTTTAAGTTTATCGTGGCTAAAGAGTGATACTCAGCTGCAGAAGTAAAGCAGTTATTTTCTGAGAATCCCCACAATTTAGCCCAAAACTTCTAAGAAAGCACATTATCCTGCTGAATGCATGTGCTAATGACATGACTTTTTACTGTGATCTACGCAACAGTGGTTTCCAATCTTTTTTCCCTGACGATATCCTAACCCACTTACCTTGATTTTTGCACAACCCCCATGCTGCCACGTGCAATATTTTTTTGTAGAGTTTTTTTTACGTTCTTTGTTATTCTTTATTTGGTGAAACTCTCAGTGTGTCACAACACGTTGTTGTTTGGAAACCACTGATATAAACACTAGAAAACATAGGGATTCACCTGAAATGAATTATATGCATAGCTAAGGCAACTACATCTGTGTAGGGATGTAAGAAAAGAAAGATAGAAAAGGCTATAGATCATATAGCATACAAAGACATATACAATGAAAATATTTATAACTAGTTTACAAACCGAAATTTGAAAACAAACATCATACATATAATATAATCAACTCTGTATAGAAAGACTTGAGCAGCACTACGCTACAAGTTTCCATAGACACAAATACATTGAATTTGTTTCAGTTGAATAAGAATGTTAATGGTGTACTGCATTGTTTGTTTTTTTTTAATTCAGATGAACTACTTGTAAGAGTGTGTGTGTGAGTGTGTATGTTTTCTTATAGCAAAGCCACATTGGGCTATCTGCTGTGTTCGCCGAGGGGAATCGAACCCCTGATTTGAGCATTGTAAATCCGAGGACTTACAGCAGTCCCACTGGGGGACACTTGTAAGAGACGAAGACTTTTAACATGAAAAGTCTGAATGACATATAAGAATCTCTGACTGTAACCTAACTGAGGATGATTTCCCCGAAACAGGTTTATTTATAACTAATACATACTTTTCACAAAAAGTAGAAGCATGAAGTTAGAGTAGACAGTGTATCTTTAATCAGGGTTAGGAAATAACTTTATGGGGGGGTGGGGTACAAAAAGGTTATGTATGGTATTAACACAACAATACAGAAAAAATTACTACATCTTAAAAACATAGTTTATAACTCAAAACTATAAATTTTAAACAAAAAAGTAGAGGGTCTAGTTATCTAGTGATAATACATCCACACTTCAACAATTTACTAATACTTTCAATAGACATATAGTTATTTTATAGGATAACAACTATAACCAACATGCATTACTTTCACTTGCGTCCACTGAAACCATCCACTGGTATCTCACAATTACCTAAAAAATTGAAATACAAGTGTTCTCATATATTACCTACTGTACCGCCAACAGTTATCTATAAACCTGAAATAAATGTGTTCTCAAACATTACCTGTGGTAATTCATAGTTATCTAAAAACTTGAAATATAAATACACTCATACGGTATCTATAGTACCATCTCAGTGTTATCTAAAAACAGTTTGGTCTTACATTAGCTATGGTATTACTGTCCTCTGGTAGTTCACAGTTATCTAAAAACTTGAAATACATGTATACATACATATTTTCCTACATTACCTATAATACTGTCAACTTGTAGCTCCTATCTACGTTAAACTTGAAAATCGAACCAATCATACACAAACACAAAAACTATATTATGTATTCCAAACTGAGGAAAAAAACAACAACAGATCGATAAAGAACAAATAGGTTTTGTCACTGACATCTAAACTTTTACAGACTAATAACTGGTTTTCTGTTTAAGTGTATAAAAAAAAACAATATTTTATTTTACTGTGATAAAAAGTGTATATTATCCTTCTAGACTTACATAAAATATGGAGTCCTGAGAATTTGATAGCCTTCAGCTTGATTTGGAAAGACGTCTTCTAGGTAATAATACAGATGACCAATGCCTATTCCTGTACAATGAGAAAAAACATACACACATATACACATCTATATATAAATGTTATGTGAAAAGAACTAACATTTACACTTGTACGGTTATAACATCCTGCAAACAATTTTAAAAAGCTAGCAGAAATTTATATACAGTGTTAAAAGTTGGACGATTAACTTCGTTAATCATTACCTCCGAGCATTGATTAATGTCAGATAAAATTATTGATTAATCAAAATGATAATAAAACTGATTAATGCCATAAAAAATAATGACCGAATATGAGTTAATTTCTCTATTCTTCCTGTTTTCAAATATTAGAATTATCCAGTATCCAAGCAATCAAAAATACTGCCATTATGATTTTCCACTATTATTTTTTATTAATTCAAGTGTGTTCAACTTTGGGCTAGCATGGTCATTGGTTAGATTGGTTGTCTCATGAACTGAGGTTTCAATTTCTGTTCTCACCAAACATGCTCTCCCTTTTAGCCATGGGGAGTGCTATATTTGTTTTTGAGTAATGGCAAAGCTACCAAGGTTACCTGCCACTGTCACGAATTTTGAACTGCTGGCCAGCAGAAGCCACTGCCAACTCGTGGGCTACTGTTTTACCAATAAATGATGATATCGATCATTACAATATAATGTCCGTGTGGCCGAAAAGACGAACATGTTTGGTGTCAATGAGCATCTAATCTTTGGCCCTCAATTCATGTGGCAATCATCCTAAACACAAGACAATGTCAGCCAATGGGTATTATAATGCAACATCTAATTCTAGTCATTGGTAAAGAATAACCCGGGAGTTTGTGGTAGGTATTGCCTGCCAGTTGCTCTCTCTCTGGTCGGCAGTTCAAAAATTAAGGAAGGCGGAACATCGCCTTAGTAGATTTGCAGTTATTCAAAGAACTCGTTCAGCTTGAAATACATACCAATTGAACGATAGCTAGTATTAGTTCTGTTGGCACAATTGTGCTTGACAATATTCACGTGTTCTACCTGTACACAACTCATGACTGTGAGAGTATGGCCTAGTGGACACTGATTACAGTGATGCCTGCTTTTCATGTTTACCTTGCGTAGTTTTAACTTCAAATATTGCTTATTTTTTTACAAGCTACAAATGTAATCGGTATTAATTACTTAAATTAAGACTGCTTTATTTAAAAAAAGACACAGTAAGTTAATATTCATAATTTTTTATTAACTCAAACAAAATGATGATTGCTGAATAATTTGTTCTTTTAATCGTGTTTGTCAGAAGTTACTGGACATGAACTAACAACACGTTATACGGTTACATCATTAACCTATTTACACAAACAGGACTAGTTCTGGTTAGATAGGAAATGTTGAAAATGGAAAACAAAAGTCTGATTATGCATATAAACGTAATTTTTGCCTTCATAATGTGTAATGACAAGTAAATGTATATTAAGGACAGATATGTTAAATTGACTTTTTGCTAATTCAAAATAACAAACTTTTGGCTCACTCACACTAGAATATTAATGTGCACAAAATAATGACTAATTTTATACCCACAAAATCTTATCTTCCTCTACGTTTAACAAGTGGCATGCGTGCTGTAAACGTATTATCCTTTCAAACAGTGAAGGTGTACCTAAAATATTGTTACGACAGCGTAAGTCACGTGACGCTGGTAACACGTGATGAGTTTCTAGAAGGATCATGAAGGCCCAAGTGTTTGCCAGACACCCTCTATTTTAGTATATAAGTCCGGCAAATAAAGTGGAGAGATAATTTTGCAGATAGACAGATAATCGAGTCAAGCCGTAAGTAAATTGTGTAAATTGCTGTGAATTATAGCATGTGTTTAAGTTAAAGTGACTGTGGAAATTCTGTGTATTGCAAAGTTGTATTAAGAAAGAATAAACTAGTTTTATTTAAGAAAGGACTTGTATCACTGAAGTTCCTCGGGAAGAATTTTTATGGGAAATTATCAAACAAGCAGATACGTAACAAATTAGTGTTACGACAGCAGAAGTCACGTGACGCTGGTAACACTATCCTTGTATTTGACTGTTTAGATTAGTTGTGTTTATAAAATATTATAAACTTGACTCCCCAGAACTAAGGGTAGGTAACTTACGTTAACTTGTATCCAGTAGTAATGTTAAAAGTCACTGTTATGTTTGACATTTTTTTCTGAATTATAATCAATGTCTTGAAGTAGCGTTCATTTTCATCAACAGAAATTCAGTAGCTTTACTAATATTGGGATAATATGTAGAAAGAAATCCACAGAATGACATTAATCATATTTTAAGAGTTATACAAAAATTTGAGAACTAACCCATTAAATCCACTAGTATAGAATTTCCAAGCAAAAATGAAAATAATAGAAGAATCCAAGGTAAGAATATAGCCTGAATATGCAACAGTCCAAAGATGTTCATGCGATAGTACGAGTTCTTACGGCTCCAAATATAAGTCACCATCATTGTAAAACCTTGTCCAAGAAAAGGGAAGTTAGCAAAAATGGCAATTATCTGAACTTAGAAGTTAAGTTTCAATTACGCAACTTGTAACAGTACCTTATTTACTTTTCTACCTTAACCATTTCACCATGGATAGCAACTACAGTTGACAGGAAAACAACTGAGATCAACTTTTTTTCATGCCCGTCAAAAAATATTTTCCCCCTACAGTAAAAAGTGATGACCCTCCATGAGCTGGAATCGACCTCTAGACAATGGCGGGTGTGCTGAAATCTAGGAGTATGAGCAGGAAACACAAATTTAAACAATCCCTCAGTTGGTGCCCCAGTCAGCATATGATGCGAGGCACCCTCACACAGATATATCAGCTATTAATCATATTTTCTCTGTGTTTTTACCATAATTTAGGTAAGTTATTGATGCCACAACATCAAGATATGTAATGTAAGTGTGTCTTATAGATCACGATGCATAATACCGCAAAATATACTACTAATTTACAATGTTTTTCGATACAGAAATGATAATGATTGCGGACCGACCGTGAAATCTAATTATGCAGTGAAAGGGTTAAAAAACATACATGCATTTCTCCCAAAATATGAGTAAATATTTCTAACGAAAAGACTTAATAATTATTTTTTTCATTATTACTTGATTTACTGTGTTTTTCAAACTGGTGGCTTAAATACCATTTTAAATTATTATGAATCATGGTAATAGTTATAAACTTGCAAACACATAAAAAGGATACAATCATTATACTCCCTCCAAATACAAACATGAAAAAGAAATCTGCAGTTTGACCATAAAAGGAGCTTTCTTCCAACATTCTACAGTACCGATACGTAAATATTATGTTGAAAATAAACTGAAATCCTAATTTTCCAAAAAATAGGAAAGTAGTCAGTATTCTCCATATCTGAAAAAAAAAAGATCAACAAAACATGAGATAATTCAACACACATGTAAAATTTCATTCTATACAACTTAATATTTGTTAATATTATACGTCTGATTTTTTTCGTCTGTAAGATTACTATTACAAAATACATGCCATACAAAATGAACTTGTGATGTTATCACATTGTCATGTACCTTTCATTGGTAAAAATATGTCACAAAATGTATCATTAATATTTTAGCTTTTAAGAAACAGTTTAAGTAAACAACATACCAACTGAAGAATGGTTCCTCGGCAGGTCTAGAGATTGAAGAAAAAAAGTAAAGATGTGTGGTGTTGACGGTACAACATCTTACCAGGTTCTAAATGGATGTCTACTTCTTTCTTACCACTTTTTAGTTGCTATTACTTTGGTAGTTAATATAAAATATGTAATGACACACCATGTCAGAGATGGAGTGTGTGCAACTTCAAAGAGAAGGAACTATAAAGCCATCAATAGAATGGCTTATCCCCATGAATATTAGTCTTTTTCTGTGTTTGTTGATAAAGATGGCATTTCTGTAACTGGTGGTTGTTTTTTATAATGGTAACCTTGACCTTTTAACTCCCAAAATCAACAGGTGACCTGAGAAGTTGGATTAAAATATGCTGTTTAACACACTGATTATCAAATTCGATGACGAGGAATGCACTTTGAGACTAATAATGGCTGGAGACGGCTTGAATGGGTAATGAAGAAAAACTTTAATATAAGTTTAACATAACAGCAAATGTACAACGTTTTGTCATCATCAGGTACAAGTAATTTACACTGACATGGATATATATATATACATTATTGAACAAAGAAGTCAAATGACCGGAACTGTTGTGAAACTTAGAAGAGGTATCTAGGCACCCCCGGGGTGTTGGTTTAGAGTAGGGTTGTTTTGTTCAATTAAAATGGATTCCTTGATTTTCGTTTGTTTATGTTGGGTTCTTTGTTTAAAATGACTGTGTTTTTAATAGATATACTAAAAACTAGGTATCTCTCGTTTGTACAAAAAAAGCCTTGAAAACTTGGTTTCTTTACATTAAACAAAATGAAAAGTTTTTATCTTGAATAAAATAATGATATCAGAGAAGTTCACTTACCTGTAAATGTCTTATTATCAAGTATGGATTGAAGTGTAGTTGAGAAGGAGACACAATATCCAAATGCTGCAATATAAAAATATGACTTTAGTTCATAGACATGAAAGTGTACTGTGTGTCAAAACTTTGATGCACCTATAACGAAAGAGTATATTATTCTAGCCCTAATGGTATTAAAAACTAATATATATATATATCAATATTGTAAAAATAAATGCCTCAGAAGCTAGTTTTTTTTACCTGTTCCCACCTACCAATCTAAACCATTATTTAACAACAGTCTGTGTGTATGGATGTGCAATCCATTGGACTGATTCTTGCAAAACTTGGAATGTATCTTTAGTCTCCACAGGAGAGTTAATGTTCAAATCTGACCCTCCAGTGTCTTCTCTGACTGTTGAACTGGTACATCAGCTTCTACATTATAAATATCTGAAAGGCACTACTATACACTTACTTCAAGGCACAGGTACTTTCACCAAATGTATGAACACACAGTGCTTTGATTTTACTAATTAAACTTAAGATGAATATACCATGTGCATCATTTGATATTTTTCTACATTAAAGTATATTTTCTAATTCTTGCCCATCAGTAATTCTGTTCAGGTCTTTCTGAATTAAAAAAAAAAACATAAGAAAGAGCATGCTGACAAAAGTTCACTCAGACCAACAATGTAATCTTTGAAAATAACAAACAGACCCCCTGAGTCACACTAAGCAGGTAACCTGTATACACAGCTCTTATTGCCTTATCTTTCACTACAAGTCAGAAGATGTATGTATGTAATTTTTGGTTACCCATGCATTTTTTAAAACCATAACATGACCTCTGTGTATTTCTATATCATATGGCATTCATACATATAATTCAAGGACAAGGAACCTATTGGTCCATCTAGGCAGTCCCATCCACTACACTAAACTCTAAAACAAGAATGAGACACTTAGAGCCAGTCCTTATCTGTCAGATATTTATCAAATCTTTCCTTAAATTACCCGCATCTACTACATTTGACGGCAATCCATTACAATGGCCAATCACCCCTGTTAGAAAAATAAAGCTGTCTTAGATGAAGATGACTTCTACTCTGCCAAAATAATGTCATGTTGTAACACAAAGGTCAGCATAGCCACTAATACTTATCTTTTCTCAGATCAATATACCACCACCATTATATGCATGTCTTTTCTCTGTGAAATTCGGGCTAGATCAGATCCTGGCCTCTAAATGCATCTCGTGTCTATGTGGCCACAATAAGTGTGATTCATCTGTGAACAAGTCATTCACTCATGTAGTTATTGACCAATCTACATGTTCTTGACACCAATGAAGGGTTATTTTGTGGTGATAGGTTACACTGAAGACCACATACCATTGATCATCTGGCAAAAAAGGTCAACCTTATGAAGACTGTTTCTGACCATTTACATGGAGATCTGTCATCCAAATGCTGCTCTGAACTGTTGATTTCATTGAGTAGCTGAGGCTTGCAAGTTATATAGAGCCCAAACTGTCACCTAATGGTAGTTTTGTGAAGTTGTTGACAAAGATCTACTCTGCCTTAGTACCCAGACAACTACACCATGTGGATTCACACCCTTTTGTCCACATTGTATGTGATCTACAACCATTATACAATGTTTGTTTATCTTAGAATTTTTGCACGAGACTACACAAGGGATGTTTGTGCATAACCATCCATAATTTTGAATTCATAGACTATAAGGAAGGCAGCTAGTCAAAAGCATCTGTCACAAACTCTTGGGCAACTCTTAGCCAACTGAATAGTGGGATTTGATCATAATTTTTACACTGTACTCTCAGATATAGTGTGGAGCATATTTTGGAGGCAATAAGACATAAACTATAAGCCCTCAGATTCAGAGCTTGGATATGCTAAACATTAGACAACACCCAATTTATATCTCTTCACATCACAGAAATACCCAGAGATATGTGTCGAGATCCTGATATGTTTCATTACGAATCTGGATCTCTTTACATGCACTGCTAGTTCACAAACTGCTGGGAACACATTGCATTTCCTTCAAGAATATGTGCATATGACATCACTTTACGTACTGCTGAAATGTGCATTTCAGATCAACTGGCACTTGTTTGTTTTCCATACAAATTAACTCAGGAGTGCCAGTGACATTACTTGATAAAGGTGGTATCTTGTTATAGCCAAAATGCAGAACCTCCAATTATTATTTTATCATGTTAACCATTGTATTTAAATCACCAAGATCAAATCAAATGTAGCTCTGCAAGTCCATATACCTAACCAAACATAATTCAAAACAAATGAAGATCATAAATTGACAAAAAAATCATTCCACACGTCAAATTTAATGACAAAGACTACCTCTAGGTTTTCAGAGCTTAAAACTACATGTATTACTCTGCATATTCAACTCTGTTTTCATTGAACCACTAAAACAGATCACCCAAACTGTCCGAGTGTATAACAATTCTGAACACCTTTGGTTTTATGCTTCAAAGAAAACAAGCCCAAAACTTGAATCTTTTAATAAACAACTAATTTTTGAAACCAGGTATTTAACTAACCCACTTTTTGTCTATCCAATACATTGATAATTTCCCACAGTAAAGAAAACATAACTGCACACAATATTCTAAATGAGGTACATTCTTTTCTGAATCAAAGTTACAGTATTATTTTTGCTCCTAAACTAAAAACTATTTATTTTCAAAAATATCTGTGGAAACGTTTATCATTAATTTTCTTCAGTTTTAAAATAGTTGTCATCAGATGCTACAGCTTAACTCATTTTGAAGTGATCACTTCCAAGTTTCACATGACAACTTCTCCTGAACAAAAATAAAGATTAAAGAATTCTCTTCCCAAAATAAAAAAATAAATAAATATCTAATCTTATCCTCTAATAGTAAGACCACTAGCAATTTTTATTATTATTTTATAGCCATGCTATTTTCATCTACAATAATATTCCATTAAAATATTTCAAAACTCCAATAACCTTAACACCTCATTCTTGCAGTTCAACCAAACCACTGAAAAATTACATCTGGATAACTGATCCATGGAAATACTATACATTTTAAAGCAAATTTGTAAAAGATCTTTGAAACTTTGAACAATTTCTAATGGAAGTTACTGTAATTTGCAAAACTGGTAAATGTCATTCATTATTCCAGTTTCACTTTATCAAAGTTAATACAAACCAGTTTGTATAAAACAATATTAAGGAACAAATTTTGGCAACTGTGTCACACATTCTTAGCTATTTGTAACTTTCAAAAAAAAAAAAAGATAACTGAAAGGGAAACAGCCACAAAAAGTTTAAATATATCTTATCACTTAGTAGTTGTGATAACCTTATTTGCAAAATTTCAATATGCACTACAACTGGTAAAAACAATTTCCAGCTTCAAATGCTTTTAATTAGATCTTAATTATTTTTCAAGTCCTTATAAGCTACTCTCAGTTGGCAATATGAACATCTGTCATTTTATGTAGTTTTATTTCACACTTCACATCGAAAAAATAAAACTTACAATAACTTAACTCATTTTAATATTCATAAAAAAACCTGTGTAGGCTATGCCGTGAAAGTCAAAGCCTTAAAATTAAACTTGAAAATTGAGGAAATAAAAACTTTAATTTCATACATTTCAGGCCTAAAGTCCGTTATTCGGTGATGTTATATTTACTTGAACTAAGAAAACATTACCTAAATAGCAGTTTAGGCCAGAAACACTGCGCGAAATTAAAGTTTGCCTAGTTTTTATCAACAGCGTATCTATCTAGTGTTTTTATTTCTGCAAACATTGTCTGAATATTGTTTGTGCAATTTTTTTTTTGCTTTTCACGTTTGTATCATTCGGGTCTGACTAGGCCATTATAACAGTGTTAGCCTAACTTCTAAGTTATATTCTATCTTTTTGCTGTTATTAATATTATACGTAGGTTTTATTTTAACGTTGAAAACAAACAATATTACCACTGCTAAAGTTGTTAATAAACTGGCTGTTGTGTATACACGAGTTATAACGGGTATCTGCATATATTCTTCCCAAAGACTATTAAAAGCCATTATGAAACTGAAAATTCGAACACTGAGCCTAATCTAAAGAAAACTAATCAATGAAAAAATGGTCACTTTGAATTTAACGTTTGTCCTTAGGCCTAAGTACGATCATAAACCGATACTTCAGTACTATTTGAAAACGTTTGTCAAATTAACAATAATATTGTATTAGTACGAAAAAGTTTTACTTTACAATTGGCGCGCATAAAAAAAAACGAAATACAGAAAACTCTTTTAATGTACGAAAAAAAAATGAAGTGTTATACAAATAAAATAGTAAATATCAAGAATTTAATATATTATATTTTGATTAGATATAAAACTGGTTGGATCTAATAAATTTAAACTCCCACTACATATCTCAACGTATACTATATCAGTATATCACTTTTGTAAATAACTAGGATAGTTGTTGAGGAAAGATGATACTGAAGAGATCGCTGTTTTAGTTTACAAGGATACTGATAGGTTTCGTGAGTCGTTAAGAGTATAAAAAATAAATAGTAACAAAATGTTTCAATGCTTTATATATATAAAACACTTCCTTGTTATGAGAAAAGAATGATAGTGTTGAAAAAAAGGCTATCAGGACGTTGGTTTGCTTTTTGGGAAAACTTTAATACTTGATTGAGAAGTTCTACTTGAGTTAACCGAAATTTTGAGTTTGATTTGTTTGTACTTCGCGCAAAGCTACACGAGGGCTATTTGCGCTAGCAGTCCCTAATTTAGTAGTGATAGGCTAGAGCAGGGGTCACCAAACTTTTTCACAGCGGGCCAGATAACTGAGAGAATGACGAGCGCGGACCGCATAACCATTTTGTTGAATACAGTAAATACACAGAAAAAAAAAAAGCAAACATGTTTATTTTCCAAAAAAGTTATCAAAGAAGGCGACGTTCGCAATAAG